GGAATGGTCCTGCTTTGAGCAGGGGGGTGGGCTAGATGATTTCCTGAGGTCCCTTCCAACCCTAATTTTCTTTGATTTGTATGATAGCTCTGAATATCTTGCATCTCCTTGACTGTCTGGCTTGTATGCACATATGAAATGATGGCACTGAGAATCTACTGGTGACATTCAGTGTTTATTTTATTCTGATGATCTATACTGTTATTATTATATAATCAGCTGCTTTTTCTAGTGTTTGAGAAGGCTCACTTTTAGAGTTGAGCAGGGAGTACATGGAATTGATTTGCAGTAGCCTCATCCTTTTCTTTTAAACTACTGTGGGGAATCTGTCTAAGGTAATTGCAGCTTTCCCATGAGGGTTTTCTTGTGTCAGGTTCTGCAAAGTTTTATTTATTATTCCTTCAGTTTAATGGGGTCCTGGGCCATTAGAAAAGCTAGTGTGGAGATCCAGGTTGAAAAAACATTATGCTGTTGTTACTCTGTTTCATCCAGGGGCAGATCTGGGGCATGGAGGGGGAGGGTTGATGTTGGTGTTGTAGTTGTAGTCCACTTCGATTCCTTCTGTACTCAAAGTTTAAAACAAACTGTCTGTCAGAGACAACCACATTTCTTTTCAGGAGGAGTTGAGGAAGGCAATTGACTTAATGGTTCATTATTAGGTACTTGATTCCTTTCACTTCATAGGTGTTATCAGACCTTGGTCCTCCACTAATCAATCTATCCTTTCTTGTACAATTATCATGTCCGTTACCTACTCCTGGTATTGTTTCTCTTCTCACCCCTCAGTGTGCCCAATAAAGGTGTGTGCCACTGCCTAGGAACCTGTATTGGGTGACATTGCTCCTAGAAGACCACAAGAAATTAGAGCCAAAAAGGCAAGGGTAGGGCTGAAGGCAGATTAAGTTTTGCAGTGGTTATGCAGTCAGCAGCAGGAGCAATTTGCCAGTGTGAGATGAAGAGGTAAGTTACTGCAGTGGCCCTTTTCTGGGTTATTTGCTGCAGCAGACAATAGGCTATGGGAAGCTGAACCAGTAGTGCAAACAGTGTGGCATAAAACCAGGCATGGGCAGATCCAGAGGGGTTGATTCCCTTGGGTAGAGGAGCTGCAACCAGTTGAAGTGAGTGCTACACCAATCCCAACTGTTTGTTCCTGTATATTGATGATGAAAGACAGTGGAGGTCCGCTTTAAGCATGCTTTGAGGTGGCGGGAGGAGATGGGGATCATTTACAGGCCTAACCCAACCTGCCCTTTGGGCACGGGCTGTGAGGAATGGAGGGAATTGTTTGGAAGGGGTTTTGAGAGGAAGGGGCTCCTAGGGGCCATGGGGAGCTGAATTAGGGGTCATGGGCATTACAGTGTGTTCATGGGGAGAGGGCCTGTGGGATAGAGAGGTATGGAGTAAGGAGGAGCTAAAGCATTATGGAGGTGGGGGAGTGTGAGGAGCAGGTGGTTGGAGTTTGAGGAGCAGTGCGGTAAAATGGAGTTCCTGGGGAGTTGGGAGCAAGAGGGATTGTGGGGGGGGGGGG